TTTGGATTCCCATTTTCCATGACACACAATATTGCCACCCCAGGAAAGTATGATGGTTTTATAATAGATTAATGAGACCACTAGAGCACATCAAACTGTGTTCCTCACCCTTAACCCCCAATATCTCTGCCTACAAGTCCCATAGGAACTTCAAGTAAAAAAAGAGGAGGGGCTCTAAATATAGGGAGGAGAAAAAAGAATGGAATAAGGCAACAGTTTTTTAAAGATATGGTGTATACAGTAATAATAGTCAGATAGACGTTTAGATATAAAATCATTAAACTGAACAGAATGCTAGATTATACACACAGGGCATTTATACCCATATGTTTTTGTCTGATGTTGCACTGGAGATCCACCACTTTGGAGCAGATTCAATTACTCGAGTCTGCTTCACACACGAGCTGATGTGAACTGCAGTGGACCACGTGCATGTGGCAGGGCACCAGTGGTGCCTGCCACTTTAAGGGCTAGATCAAACACTCAGAAGGTGTTTGATTCCGGCGGCCATTTTAGAACTCTGGCTGCCTATATAAACAAGAGCAGTCTTCTGCTGGGAGCCAGGCAAGAAATATTACCTGGCTGAGCTGCTGCATGGGAACATTTTGTAGGTAGGAACAGGAGGCTCTGGTCCTGGGCATGACCTAAAACTGCACCCTGTTGAGGATGGCTGGTCTGGTAGGGCTCTTAGTGGCGTGGGAGCCCCCAGGAAATGTCAGGCCAGTTACCACCCCAGTGAAAGGCAGGTAGGAGCGCCTTAACCCCAACCATCACCTTCGTGCGGGTTATATCATACATTTAATCCAGGGAAGGCCAGGTAAACTTCTTGAAGTGCTTGACCCTGCTGGGGTGAGTGACCCTGCGGGGCCAGGCACACTTTGTGAAGCACCTGAGCTGGGAATGGGAGACCCAGATCCCCGAGTGCAGGCAGGAGGCTTAGATCTAACTTGAGGGACCCAACTGATCAATGCTGGGGCCAGGACCCAAATAAGGGTAAAAAAGGCCAGGGGGCCACCATGAGGGACACCCCTATAAAGCAGAGAAGCTCAGGGTCCTGACTGGCCTGAGACGCGGCCAGGGCTTAAAGGGAAGCTGAAGCTCCCAGGGAAAGGGGCCACAGCTAATGGGCGAAGGGGACGGTTGAGTGGGCTGCCTGAGATGCCATCTGCGAGGCTTGGGCTGCGGTGTAGGGGTGGAACGGAGCTGTGGATAGCTCCCCCAATATCGGTGTGTATAATGGGAAGCCTCCCGCCTAATTGTTACATCAATATTATTATATCAAGGCATGGCAAGCGAGACAGGCGGGTGGCTGACCTGTAGATGGGGGCAGGCTGGTGCTTGCACTGGGCATGAAAGCTTGCCCCTGTCACAGTGCAGTTGCATAAGCAGCGAAATGCACGTCAGCACACAGAAAATGATGGTGGTGCGCTTTTGAACTAAAGCACCTCCTATGTGTTTTAGTTCAAAAGTGCACCACTGCCATTTTCTCAGCGCTGACACGCATTTTGCCGCCTATACAACTGCTTGTGCTTCAGCACCAGGCGCTTCTAAAAGTGCCTGCCACTGCAGCACATGCATGTATATAAATGCCCATAGAATCTAATATATAACTCTTAAGAAAGGTTGACTGATGTTATACAAGTGAAATACTGAGTGCAGTTTTGGATACTCCATTTATGCAACATGTGGAAAAATTAAACAACACTGCTAAAGAGCATAAACTCTGAGAATATAGTTATCTGTATATTTTCCTATGAGGAAACTTTAAAGCCAGGTCATTCCAAACATGCATAAATCCTCACATGTTATAGTTGAAGCTGCACTAACAGTATTAAGCCAAAAAAACCCAAAAAACAAAAAAACCCTAAACCTGAAGAGAAATGCAGTTATTTTTATGTAAACTTAGAAAGATGACGTATCTGCAATCTTGTAAATCTGCTATAATTTAAAAGGGCTGAAACGAAAACAAGTTGAAGAGGACTAAATTAACTGGGATTGGAGGAGAACAAAACTGTATTTAATCAACATTCTTTTTTTATTTCATTATTTCAACTTAAGAGGTATTGTCCTACCTGGTGATAGAATCCCTTCGTTTATCACCTTCTTTAACAATGAGGACAACTTTCCATCTGTGGAAGGCCCCTGGAGCACCAGAGCGTAACAGTTCTTCGCGCCATCTTTTAGGTGCAGATTGCATTTGAGGTGAAAAATGGGGGTCTTTTTCAAGTTTATATCCCCATTCGTAAGTTGTTTCATCAAGCCATCTGCCACTTGCAGCACTGTTAATTATGTAGTCCTTAGTTAGTATCCACTTTCCTAGAAAGCAAATGAACTGTCAGCCACTAAAGAATTTTTGTCCAGACAAAAGGCAATCCATTGAAGATCAAATATAAAATTAACTTCAACCATTTGAACTCTTAAGTGCTATTTCTAACAATACTGTCAAATTCCCTTTCTCATAATCTTACATCCTGCAGTGTCACTGACAACGGTGGTTTTGCTTTCTTCTGATGTAATGAAATGAATACAGGACAACAAAACAAAACAAAAACGCTTTTTGCTGCTCAGAATTTTATCCTGTGTGTTTTCTGTATGGTATCCCACTTAGCCTTTATATTTTTTACTTAATTCCATACTTTACAACTTACCATACTAAGTATATTTCTTGATCATGAAGGCACATATTGTGTACTCGGAAAAAATGCAATAATCCTTTCAAACCACTTGTGCATAACAGAGTTGGATTCAGCAAATTAAAGTCATCCCATGATATTTTCTGGTTGGAAGCCATAAACATCTGAGCATTAATGCTATCTAAAATTATATAAATTTCATCTTGAAAAAGCAGGATGTGGTCCAGTTATGAATGTATAATTCTATGAGTCCAAATATCCCTGGCTCTGTAAATTTAGGGATCTCTATATTGGAGATAAATGTTTAAGATCAGTACTCTGGTCTTTCTTCTTTCTCCTCTACTCATTCTTGCTCATCTCTGATTCCACTTTCTCATTCCTCTTCTTTCTTCTTCTTTAGGTGAGCTTTTGATACTGTGTTATAGGGCTGCCCAACTTGTGGCCTATGAGTCATATTCAGCTCACAGGGGGTTAACTTGCAGCTCACAGGTTGTTGCCCAAACCCTGTTTATGGAATTGCTCCTCCTGCCACTGCTGTGGTCTCTCCAGGTTCTCTTTTCCTCTTGGGGAGGCCCCATGCTGGGGGGAAGGGCAGGAGGAGGGGGACTTTGCACTGACAGGGCCTGCAGACCCTGTACAGCAGGGTCCCCAGGGACAGCCAGGGAGCCCTCCTTGCACTGGGGGGGACCCAGGGAGCCCACATGGTGGGGCAGCATACAGACCCCAGTCACTCAAAAGTTGAAAAGTCCTGCTGTATGCAATAATTTGTACCTACCCCCTTTCTTTTCCTCTCCCCCAAACCCTTTCATGTAAGAATCAGCAGCTATGGTACTACCATGTCATATACTGAAATGCTACCTACAGAATATATTTGAAGTGAATTTTAAATTATTTGAACTGTACAATCCTCATCAATTTCACAAAACAGCTGGGTACAGGTAAAATGATTCCCTGTAGGAGAATAGGTGGTATTTGTACATGAGCTAACATTGAGTGGACATAGGATGGAAAGAAAAAAGGCTACTATGCTCATAACACAGAGATTAAAAAGCACTGTTTATAAAACAGATTAAAAATTACTACTTCTCAGTCAGTGGGTTCCATATCAAAGAAAAACCCTGCAACCAAAAATAAATACTGTTTTCCCAACTGAAGGTATCGGGTGGCAATCTCTGTACATCAAAAATGTACAGAAATTGCAACTTTTTCAGAATTCAGTCTATTAATGATGGGGAGTGATAACTGGTAAAGTATACATGAAGTGGGAAGTACCTATATGTATGCTTAGGGCACAGTCAGGGGACAGTAGCATCACTTTAAAAGGCTGTATGCATGTAAGGGTTTACTCTGGTACATGTCCTTACTTGTCGTTTGGAAGACTTTACTTGTGTTGGGACAAGAAACAAAACATCATTTTGCATTACTTTGTATAATGTATGCACATTGAAACTACATATACTGTTTCGTTTCAGTATAATAAGAAACATCCTTATAGAGTTGTGTAAACAAAAAAAAAATAAACAGTCAAATTTGTGAAACAGAATGCTGTAGGATTATGATAAAGAACTGCAATGAAAAATCTACATTATAATCCAATTTCTTCATGTACTTCTTAAATCTAGTTCAGTAAATTTACATCAGTTAAAATATTCACAGCTAAAGTTGCATTGCCTAATTTTTTTCTTCACTCCAAATTTTATAGCTCCTTTTGGGCACTGCCCTTTTACTGTATCACAGAAAAAATATTATTGCAGTAGTGCAATACTCTGCCACATAACCACATTTTCTGAAACCACATTTTGACCACATCCTACCCTTACCCTGTGAACAGAGTACCTGAATGGTAGCAGAGCAAATGATACTGTTAAAGAAGTAGGTCAGTCACAGGAATAAGGAAATTAGCACCATGTGGCAGATTCTCTCTCAGTGACTCACCCTAAAGTGCTCTACAGACCTCTCCTGTGGTCCTCAGAATGAAAATCACCACTTTATAGCACCAATTTCAAAGCATGTTCAAGTACAGTTAGAGGACCTTCCTGTTAGAGGAAACTTTACAATATCCACTTGTGTGTGTGTATATCTATATATATATATATATATACTCATGTGATACTCAATGTGTTCAGTACTGTGCTTCGTTTTCATTACTACTGAAAATATTTATGTTTTAAAATGGATTGCCTATTTCCCACTTCCTCTTTTAGCTAATCCTATATTAAAGCAATAATCCTTTCTTTTTCCCCGGTGCCACTCTGCTTCTCCCTCTTTGGAGGATGTCATCCTTTCTAGGCCCACAGCCAGAAATCAGAAGATCTTGAGTCCCAATTCTGATTGGATACGAATTCTCACTTTAGCTGTAGGCAGATCATTTTAATGATCTACCTCTGGTGCTTTAGCTACGCTAGTATAACTATGGTGTCAGAGCCCCTTTGTTGAGACACAACATGTGTCTACCCCAAGACAGAGCTCATACCAACAGAAGAAACTGATACAAGAAAAATCTTGTCTGATAGGGCCCTTACCTAATAGGTGGCCTCTTACATGTATGCAAACCCAAGTGTCTATAGATGTTAGGATTTTTTAGCTACTTATCATTATACTATCAAAGGCCCAATATAAGTTATAGATCTGTTATATCTATGTATTTAAGCTTGTTATCTCTGTAGAACTCTCACAATTGATTTTCAACTTTACGTATCTTACACATTGCTTCAACCCTTATGACACAAGTATGATGAAAAGAAAAATATGATGATATCTGACAGACTACTGTACCAACAAACCAGTACTGCAAAATGTCATTAGTCCACTAACATGGCCTGTCAACTTCTATTTAGGATCCCCTTCATTCAAAACAACATCTTAAAATACAAAAGAGTAATTTTGAAAACCTTTACTTGTTTTGAGTTTTGCGGCATCAGACCCTAAGTCAGGGGAAAAAAAAGATGAAAGACTATAGGGTGTTCTCAATAAAATGGAAGAGTTAAGGATTTAAAGGGTTTTTCTTCTGAGTTGGCAGAAGGTTTCAGGTTATGTAGGTGTGCTGATAAATGTACATTATATTTATTATGAGAATTGTATATTAGCAGCTCATTATTTCTATACTTTTATAATTAGTAACTAGTGTAACAACCTCTATAGTTTGGAATAGGCCTTCTTAACCTTGTTAAGAATGAACACTTTTTTGTTTGGCAACAGAGGCACTGAATTCATTCAAATTAGAGGATAAGATATGGCAAACAAACAAATCCAAGTTTGAACAAAACTATGATTATTAGCACAGAAAGGTAGAATTCTAAAAACGAAGTAAATAAAAGTACTTCTTCCTTGTTCTTTCTTCAAATAAAAACCAACTAAAACAATTTTTACTCACCTGCCGCACAGGCTGCTAGAAACTTTTCACTCTTGCAAAGCTGTTTGGCTATAAGGTGTGTGCAATTTCTGTATTTCTGACAAAGGAGAAAAAAAAGATATTGTCATTAAAAAGGGCTCTCTCTCTGGTTTATTTTTGTTTTTTGGCTATTGTCTAAAGCGTGGGCTACTGATTCTCAACCCGGGTGCAGTAGTCTAGGTCAATGATTCTCAACCAGGACAACCTGAGGTGCTGCCAGTTCCTTGGAGAGGTGCCCGAGGTGTAAGGAGGTAAGCAGATAAGCCAAAGTAGACAAATGCCATCTCAGGCATGTCCCTTTCTGAATGATTCCCCACCGCGGCTCTTCTGCATGGCGCTAAGCAGGTTAATACATAAACGAGATGTTGACATGAGGTGCCGCTCAATTCTCAAGAGCTTTTTTTAAATTAAATTTTCTGTATTCCGTGCCAAATTTCTTCCAAATCTGAGAGTCAGTCCAGAACCATAAGTGGCCCTAGTACCGGCAAACATCCTCCACCCCCATCTGAGGCTTCAGATGTTTCCAAATCCTTTGGTGGGCATCCTACTGGCAGGCCCAAGCCCAGAGGCTTGGGGTTTGGATGCCCCTGAGTTTTGCTTGCCTGTAGCCATATGGCCCCAGAAGCAAGCTAGGGAGGAACCTCCCCGTTCCATACAGTGGGCTTAAAGCCAAGATCTTCCCACTCCAGCATCTAAGTGGGAGGTTTACTATACATGACCTTGGTGGGCACTATCCCCTTGCCAGGAGAGCCGTCTTCTCTGGATACGACTCGGAAGACTGCCTCAGTGGTCACGGTGTTTCACTTGCCAGGCAAGCACAGGGCTATGCTTGATCTGAGCCGACAAGAGGCCGAGGAGGGTGCGTCCAGCCCAGCCAAGGTGAGAGGCGCTGGGCGAGGCCACTGTCCAGCCTTGCCCTTTCCAGCTTGCTCGGCCACCCTCAGGCAGGAGGGATGAAGGAAGGAGAAAGTGGCGGGCGCGGCTCACCTTGGAGTCGATGAGAACACAGTCCAGCCTGAGCAGCAGGTCAATCAGCTCCTCTTTCTCTTGGCCCTTGAAGCCGGTCAGTTGGATTTTCCGCTTGTGGGCCCAGCCGGCCATCGGGGAGCGTTAGGAGCGGAGACGGGGGGAGTGTCCCGGCCCCGTTTCTCTCTCTCTCTGCTACGTGGCCGGGCAGGACCAGGGGCACCTCGTGCGCGGCCCCTGTCAGCGCCACGTGCCCGCCGGCCCCCGGCAGCGCCAATCGGGGCCCGGCCAATGGGCGCTGGGGCCGCTCCACAAGAGACAGCTGGCCGTC